GTGGACCCCTGAGCACTTGCCTGATGGCCTGAGGTGGACCCCTGAGAACTGGTTTCTGCAATTTGTCCTGTGACCTCTGTGCTCAAGCACACAAATACAAATAAATAAATGGGGCTGGAGAGATGGCTCAGTGGTTAAGAGCACCTGCTGCAGCTCTTGCAAAAGACCCTAGTTCAATTCCCAGCACCCACATGACAGCTCACAGTCACCTGACACTTCACTTCCAAGGACTCTGACGTGCTCTTCTGGCCTCTTTCGGTACCAGGCCTGGCACACAGACACACATGTAGACAAAACACTCATACACATAAAGTAATATTTTGGAAGTAACTAATAAATGTAATAAATATGATAAAACTAAGGCACAAAGAGGATGTAAGTAGTCTATCAGACTGACTATCAAGCAGTAGATCCAGAGTATAAAAATAAAGGACCATGTTAGACAGGGTTGTCTGAGGGATCTTCTGAGGACATTTGAGTTGGTCCCTAATAGTGAGAATGAAGCAGAGAGTGATTACCCAGAGAAAACATATTCTGTGCAAAGGGAACAGCAAGTGCACAGCCCCCAAGCAGGAAGCAGATTGGTGTGCTGAAAGAGAAGAAATAAAGCCAGCAAGGCTTTGAGTAGTGACAGGAAGGGGACTGGAAGATGAGGCCAGTGAGATTAGCCAGGGCCACCATGCAGGGCTGACAGGGCCACCACACAGCACTTCCTGAGCCTCGGTAAAGATCTTAGGTTTCATTCTAAGCAGGATAAGCCTTTGAAGGTTTTAAGCAGAATAATAACTTGATCTGGTTTATGGCTGAAGATCATTTAGCTAGCTGTACCAAGAATGAAATGGACAGAGTTTCTTTATAAGCGCCGCAGACTGCTGTGGCTAAGCTTTTCTGGGGAACAGGGCTGGGGATAAAGAAGTCCACAACGCAAAAGGAGGAGAGGAACTTGGCTTACGCCTAGGAAACACATGGCAGCCTCATCACTAAATTGGTTTTATTTTCTGAGAAAGCATTGCTATACAGTGCAGGCTGGCCTCAAAATTGTATACAATCCCATCTTACCCTCCCAAAGTAGACCTGGCTACTTTATTCAGTTTGGGGGATGGAAAGCTTTTAAGTATGTGAGTGTCTTAGTTACCTTTTCTGTTGCTGGGATGCACCACAACCAAGGCCATTTATAAGAGTTTAACTTGGCTTAGGGTTTCAGAGTTAGGGTTAGAGTCCATGATAGAAGCAAAGGCACAGGGCAGGAAGAGCTCACATCTCGATCCATAAAGAGGCACTGAACACACTGAGAATCCTGCCAGTCTTCTGAGACCTCAAAGCCCACCCTCAGTGACACACCTCCTCTAACAACACCATGCCTCCTCATCCTCTCTAAACAGTTCCACCAACTGGGGGCCACACATCCAAACATCCAAGCCTAGGAAGGCCATTCTCATTTGAACCACCACAGTGGGTAACATTTGGGATTGAAGTACATTTTTTCTTTCTTTCCTTTTAAAAAAAATTATTCATATTTTATGTACATTGGTGTTTTGCCTGCATATATGTCTGTGTGAGGGTGTCAGATTCCCTGGAAGAGGAGTTAGAGACAGTTGCGAGCCACCATGTGGATGCTGGGAATTGAACCCAGGTCCTCTGGAAGAGCAGCCAGTGCTCTTAATCACTAACCCAGCTCTCCAGCTCTTTCCTTTTTTTTTTTTTTAAAAGACAAGGTTTTTGCTGTGTAGCCCTGGCTGGCCTGGAACTCACTATGTCAGGGTTCTTCAAATTCACAGAGATCCTTCTGCCTCTGCCTCCTGGGTGCTGAGATTAAAGGAGTGTTCTACCATGCCCAGCTGTTTTTCTAAAGATTCTTTTATTTTCATGTAATATTGAGTGTTTGGCTTGCCAATATGTATATGCAACACACGGGTGTGTAGTGCACTCGAAGTCAGAAGAGGGCTTTGGAGCTCCTGGAACTGAAGCCAAGGATGGCTGAACCACCAGGCCATGTGAGTGCTGGGAACCAAACTTGGGTCCTCTTCAAGAGCAGTCAGTATGTGTTCTGAATTGCTGAGTAATTGCTCCACCCATCTCAAACACCTTAAATAAGGAAAAAAAGTGTAGCAGGCTTTCTTGGATTGCCAACCCCCAAATCACGACACAGAGACTTATAAATGTTTGGTCTTTGATTAGGCTTATCCCACTAGTTTTTTTAACTTAATTTAGCGTGTTTATATTCATCTATGTTTTGCCTTGGGGCTTTTTACCTTTCTTTCATTCTGTAGGTCCTACTTTCCTGTTTTCTCCGTGGCTGATTGGCTGGCTGGCTACCACCACCCCACCCCCAAGGCTGCCTGTGCCCCCTGGCTGGGCTGGCTTCCCTTTCTCTCTGCCCACCAACCCTGCCTATCCTTCTACTGCCTGCTTTTTATTAGACCAATCCGGTGCCTTAGGCAGGCAAGGTGAAACAGCAACACAGTTTTACATAGCTAAACAAGTGCAGCATAAACAAAAGCAACACACCTTTACATAATTAAAACAAACGCACCATAAACGAATGCAACCCATCTTTACATGGCAAAACAAATATCCACAACAAAAGAGTGCAGATGCTTCCAGAGAATCCCTTGAAGCTGGAGTTACAGGCAGGTATGGGCTGCCTGATGTGGGTGTTGGGACTTAAACTCAGGTAGACTCCCTAAAGCACTGAGCCACCTCTCCACCCCTCAAATTCCTCATGTACTCACAGGATGGCCCTGAACTCCTGCCCTGCCTCCCAAGTGCTGAAATTCCTGGCTTTCATTTTCAACTGTAAATGTTGTGAAATATAAAAGGCCATATTACCTCTTTCAAATCAAAGTGAAGATTCCCTTGCCAGGTTACAAATGTGTTTGAATGTGAAACACACACAGGATCCCGAAGACTTCTCAATGAATAAAAGGATGCAAGGCAGCTCATTAATACTTTTGTACTGATCGTATTTGAAATTCACATTCTTGTTTATTGAGTTAAATGTACTACTAAAGTCAATTTCATTGCTTCTTGACCTTTTTGCACTGGTCAAGTGTGAAAACTAATTTATCTATTCATTTACTTCCCCAGACTCACAGTGTAATGGTACACTTCCATTCCAGGCCGGTTTTTTGTTTGTTTGTTCGTGTTTTTTTTTTCTTCTTTTTTCCTTTAAAAGATATGATAGCAAAAGGTAAGTTTCAATTGTGTATATCGTCATAAATGGTGGTAGTTAATATTTTTGTTTTGTTTTTTTGAGACAGGGTTTCTCTGTGTAGCCCTGGCTGTCCTCCAGCTCAGAGATCTGCCTGCCTCTGCCTCCAGAGTGCGCCTCCACGGCCGGCCATGGCAGTGATTTTTTTCAACTCTGGAAAACGTGTAGAGACGGGATTCAAACCCTGGTCCTTGCCGACCTGGACTCGATCCTGTATCCCTCTCACCGCCGCGCCATCTTGTCTCAGGGGTGATCCAAATGTTGACAACACTCGCCACAGTCTCTTCGACCGCTGTCCTCAAAGCCAGGAATCCCTCAGAGTAGCTCCCGGAAGCGCTCACCAGCTGACAGACGCCTTAGCAGCCCGAGCCGCTGACACGGCTCTCTCCCCCTCTAAGGTTTTTCCCTGTGCGGTTTCCAGAGCTCTCCAGCCAGCCCAGCCTTCCTAGTGCCAGCCACGACATTAGCCAATCACATCCCAGAGGCCCGCTTAAGCCCCGCCCCGTGATCGCTAGTCAATCACGGCGAGCGCGAGGACCGTTCTTTCCGCGCTCAGTGAGAGTCGCGCGCCACCGTTCGGCCGTTGGCGGCGCTGCTCTCTGCGGGGTGTGTCTACCGGAAGAGCAGAATGAGGGGGCGGGCCACGCCGGTGCGGTAACCCTTGGGATTGGACAAGAGAAGTTCCGCGCTCTAACTCCGCCCACCCCGGAGCAAGCTAGTCGAGTCGGAGACGCTAGGGATTGGTTCCGGATGGACACTTTCCGAAGCTCAGAGAGTATCGTTCCGCCTCCCGCGGACCGTGAAGAGGGAGCTTCTCCGATTGGCTTGCGGGTCGAGGCGCGCGCCGGAAGACACCCCAGGATTGGCTGGCGGGGCTCGCGCGCCGTCATGGCTCCTTGGCGGCGATTGGCTGGAGTATGGAGTCGGCTATTTGAAGGCAGCGCGCGGACCCGAGACGGTCTTTGGGAGAGTTGGAGTCACGGCGAGGTCTCTGCCCCGCCGACCTCCTCTTTCCCAGTCGCCGCTGCCTCCGCAGGCCACCGAAGAAGCCTCCACTGCGGCTGCGGTCCCCGGGCGAGGTGATGGCCAAGGTGTCGGTGCTGAACGTGGCTGTGCTGGAGAACCCGTGTCCTTTCCACAGTCCCTTCCGGTTCGAGATCAGCTTCGAATGCAGCGAGGCGCTGTCTGACGGTGAGGCTGGGCCTATGCAGGGGCCCCAGGCCCTCCTGCCCTCGTTTTTGCCACCCCAAATCTCCCGGGAACTCCTACCCTGCCCACCGAATCTCCCTTTGGTGATGCGCCATGGCCGCAACCCCGACGACTCGGTGGCTACGACCAGTGCACGGTTCCCTACGTTGTCTCGTGGAGGCCGCGGCAGCCCTCGTTCCGCGCTGCTCGTCCTTGGCACTTTTTCTCTGTAGTAGTGTCAGTCTCCATTTAACCTGTAGAGACCCGCAGCCACGCCTTCTTCCCCTTGGCGAGACCCAGAGGTCATGCTCCTTTCCCCATAGGAAACCTCCCATCTATCCACTCTCCTATGGAAACCCAACCGCCAGTACCACCCCACCCCCCGTTTTCCTTGTAGACACCTTGCCCTACAGACCAGACAGACCCTCCTCTTGTCATCCTGTCTGCCCATGGCAAGACTTCCTCCACCCCATATTTGTCTCCTAACAATACCCTCCCCAGACAACTCCAGATTTGTCCCCAGCAACTCCTGCTTGCCAACTGTAACAGCATGGCTGTTGCCCAGACCGGGGCTTCTCTTTAGGTTAGTCCCAAATCCTATGTATGAAGCTTCCCCTGGGGGGGAGGATCTGGGGCTTCTGGCTCCAGCCTTTGCAGGTAACTTGGTCTTCCCAGCTCCTGTTCTGGGATTGGATGAACACTCAGGTAAGGATACTACAGCCAGGCAGGCCTCTGCCAGTTTCTGAGATTTCTACCAGCTTCCAGCTGACTCCATTCTGATAGGCCGACCTGGTCTGGGGAGTGGGTGACCTAGCCAAACTGGGATGGGATGGATCCAACTTCAATCAGCTGGGGTTTTATGAATCTTTCCCTGGATGACTTAATTCATCTGCAGGACATAAAGGTGGACATGGCTGTCATCTCACAGATGAGAGGACAAGGGTCACAAAGAGCAAAAGACCTTTCAAAATAAGTCTGTGAACACATAAACCATGAGGTCACTTTGGAGTCTCAGCTCCACAGCAAGGCAAGCCCTGCTTTCAGGAGGAAGCACTCCATTTTTCTACAGAGGGTTGAAAAGATGTAGCAGCTGAGGAAGTGGAGCTGAGAGGCTAGGTTGTGGCAACTAGTGTTTCTTGGTGGCTGTTGGGTGGTGTTCAGACAAATCCAGACACTCCTCTTGAGTGGGAACTGCCATAGTGTGTGCTTGGGGGGCAGTGGCTCAGCCCCTCCCTAGTTCCTCCTTGAGTTTAAAGGAGTCTACTGTGACTAACTGTAGAATAAGCTGGGTTAAATCCTTGCTGGAGCAAGGCAGGGTGTAAATGAATAAAGAAATAAAAGGTGGAAAGAATAACAGTGTGGAATAAGATTTATTTGGAAGCCAAGAGGAGACATAAGGGAGTCACTGTTCCTGATGCTTAGAGAGCAGGTTTCGATCAGCCTGAGTGTGCTCCTTGCATTTAAAAATGGTTGTGTGGTTATTACCTAGTACTACTCTGATTCCATATTTATAGAATTAGAACAAGGCTAAAGTCAGCCTGCTGGTCATGTTTTAATAGGAGCAAGGTGATTTCTCCAAGTCAGCCAGACAGTTAATAGAAGTTTTACCATTGAAATTTGTTTCTGAGTTCAGGTTTATTTTATTTTATTTTTTGAGTTTAATTTGTCTGTGGATGTGGGCCAGAGACACACTAGATTGTCTTTCTCAACTGTTCTTCATTGCACTCTACCTTATTTTTTTTTAAGATTTTATTTTGTGTGTGTGTGTGTTGTCTACATGTATTTATGGCACCACTTGAGTACCTAGCATCTACAGAGTCCAGAAGAAGAAGTTGGGTGTCCCGTAACTGGAGTTACAGACTTTGGGCGTCACCATGCAGGTGTTGGGAATCATACCTAGCCTCTAGAAGAGCAGCTAGTGCTCGTAACCCATGGGCTGTCTCTCCAGCTTTGTCTACCTGTTTTAGAGACTGTGTCTCTACAAAACCTGGAGCTCTGATACAGCTAGACTGGCTGCCCAGTGAGCCAGGGATCCACCCACCGTCTCTTCCTTCTTAGTAGTGTGGTTTTCTTTTCTTTTTTGTTTTTTGAAACAGGATCTCACTATATAGTTCTGGCTGGCCTAGAATTTGCTATAAGTCCAAATTGGCCTTGAGCTCAGAGATTTTTGATCTGCTTGTCTCTGCCTCACCAGTGCTGGGATTAAAGGCACGCATAACCACACCTGACCTCTTTTTATTTATTTATTTTTTGTTTGTTTGTTTGTTTAGGGTGTGTGTGTTTTGGGGGTGATACGTGCATTGGAGTCCCTGGGAGGCAGAAACATCTGATCCTCTATAGCTAGTTTGAGCCTCCTAACATGGGTATTGGGAATCAAGCCTGTGTCTTTAAAAGCAATACTGGATTTTAACCTTGAGCTATTTCTCTAGCACCCTTGAACTCAGTTTCTTAGGCTTTTGTAGGAAACAATTTATCTGCTGAGATATCTAGCCAGCTCCCAGATTCTTTATCTTTCCTTCAGTCCTAGAAAGGGAAGAAAACATTTACTTGTAGGTCTTTTTTCTTTATGAGTATTTTGCTTGCATGTATGTATATATACCACATGCACACCTGGTGCCTGCAGAAGCCAGAAGAGGGTGTCAGATTTCCTGACTGGAAATAGAGACAGTTGTGAGCCACTATGTAGGTCTGAGAATCAAACCTGAGTCCTCTGTAAGAGTAACAAGTGTTCTTAAATGCTGAGCCCCTACTTGTAAAGTTTTGTTTGTTTGTTTCATTTTTTTGTTTGTTTTTTTATTTTTTATTTTGGGGGGTAAGGGTCCTGTGTATGGCATCTCTTGTCTGGAAATCAAACCCTGGACTACACACATGCTAAACAGTGGCTTTGTGGTTGAGCAGTGTCCAACAGTCTAGTTTAGAAGTAGAGCATATTAGGAATGACCATAGAATTTCTTGTCACCCAGAATCCTTGGAAAAGATAGAAGAGGATGCTTTTCCTTCAAGTTGTGCTGATTGGTTCTATTCCTTACATTCTGATTTACCTGCAAGATGGTCTAATCTTCTTCCTGGCCTCCTTTCCATGAACCGTGAAGAAGTTGTTTCCTTACATTTTGGCACTATCTATTGAAACCTGACATGCTCCCTCAGCCCGGTCAACCAACCCCCAGTTCCAAAAAGCTCTAAGCCTGTGATGGCCTCTGTTCAGCATCTGAAAGAAGACAGTTTGAAGGTTCCAGTCTACATAGTGGGTTTGGCCCAGCCTCTCTCTTTTTCAGCTGAAAATTTCAATAGGCACCAGGTGAACAAGTCAAAGAAACCAGATTCTGTGCACCAAAGTTGATCTGTATGGTGAGCAAAAAGCAGGCAATAAATATACAGAAGTTTAAGAAAGGGAATAGTGTGCACAGCTATGCCCTACCATTCAAGTAGACACCTGAGCTACATAGGGAAAACTGGTCTCAAAGAAGCAGGATGGTACATCCCTGTAACGCCAGCACTTCGGGTGAGGTAGTGGTGGGGGGTGACAGGTGGATTGGAAGTTCAAGGTCAACCTTTGCTGCATAGCAAGTTCCACATCAGCCTGGGCTACCTAAAACTGTCTCAAGAAAGCAAAGAAGGCCAGAGCATGGTGGTACATACCTTTAATGCCAGCATTCAGGAATCAGAGGTAGGTGGATTGCCAAGGCTACACAGTGAGACCCAGTTTCAAGAAATAAAACAATGGAGGGAGAAAAGGAATGGGCTGAAGAGTAGATCATCAGTGAAGCGTTTGTCTAGCATGTGTGAGGTTGTGGATTCTGTCCCCGTGCTGTGTAAAACAAGCGTGTCGTTAGTAATGTTTGCAGCTTCGGTTTTGTTTCCCCAATAGTAAAAGGGGTATCTTAACAAGGTGTCATTGTGAACTCAGGAGGGCATCAGAACAAAACAGAATTGGACTACAGAAATGGCTCAGAGGATAAATACTGTAGAGACAAGAATCTCCAAAAGCTCTCTGTATATGCTGACATGTACTACACTTAAGGCTGCCTTTTATCCTCATACATCTCATGGCTTAGGCATACCCACATTCACATGCATGTAAACACATCATACACACTTAAAAAACAAAAATAGTGGGCTTTTTTAATCCCAGTGCTTGAGAGGGAGAAGTAAGGATCTTTGTGAGTTCAAGGTCAGCCTGTTTTATACAGTGGGATCCTGTCTCCAAAAAAAACAACAAACCGAAATCCAATCCTATATTTTGGTCAGTGTGAGTTTATACTGTATGAATGACTGATGGTTCACACCTACTTTTGAGGAAATAGTCTTCACCATTGGCTTCAGGAGTCCCTCAGGTACCCACAGATGCTCAAGGCCCATCTACAAAATGGTACAGTATTTGCACACAACCTGCACATATACATAGTCTCTCATAGACATTTATTAATACTTTTTTTTTTTTTTTGGAACAGGGTCTATGAAGCTTAGGTTGGTCTTGAACTTAATATGTAACAAGAATCTAGACTTGAGTTCTGGATCCTCCTACCTGCATCTCCAATATGCTTGGGTTACAGTTATGTGCCACAACAACCAGCTCCTCCCCATAGACTCGTCTACAAGTGACTTTTTTCTTTTTTCTTCTTCTTCTTCTTTTTTTTTTTTTTTTTTGGTTTTTTGAGACAGGGTTTCTCTGTGTAGCTTTGCGCCTTTCCTGGAACTCACTTGGTAGCCCAGGCTGGCCTCGAACTCACAGAGATCCGCCTGGCTCTGCCTCTCTTTTTTCATTTTTTTAGGCGAGATAGGGCAGGCAGGTTGTGCAGTTCCTAGTTTGATGTCGGCAATATTCAGTTGCTCTTTTCTTACTCATTGAGACAGGGTCTCTCAACCCCAGAGTTGATGGTATGGCTTATCTTACTAGCCGATTTGTTAAAAGGTTCACCTATGTCTCCTTGTCTCCTTCCAAGGCTGCAGTTAAACAGGTGGGCCACTGTGCCCTTTTCACACGCTTACATAGAAACCACTGTAATTACTGAACCATCTCCTCAGCCCTAGGTGACTTATTCTTAATGTCAGTGCTGTAGAAATAACTGTTATACTATGTTGTTTAGAGAAACATGAAATGCTTTTAATTCCAGCGTTCAGGAGGCAGAGGCAGGTAGATCTCTTGAGTTCCAGGCCAGCCAGGGAGACATAGTGTGAGAATAAATGTCAAAAAAAGAAAAGTTGTATATATTCATGTTTGGTACAAACTTATTTTTATGTTTGGCGCTGGGGGTGGACCCCAGGCATCATGAATGCTAGATGAGTACTCTACCTCTAGGCTTTCCCTCCAGCCCCAGATTATTTCCCAATATTTATAATCTGTAGTGTTTGGTTGAGTTTATGGCTACAGAACCTACAGGTGCTAAAAGCTGAGTATATTTTGAAATGAAATCTTGAGTTTCTCTGTTGTGTGAGGAAATGGCTCAGGGAGGACCTGAGCTTGTTTAGCACTCAGGTAAATACTGGGGAGGGAGGAGGGGGTACAGGCCAGTGGATCCCAGGGGCTCACTGGCCCCAGCCCGGCTGACACAGAGATACACATGGGCTCACACTTGTAATCCCAGCACTTTGAAGGCTTGCAGGAATAGTGTGAGCTCTGGCCCAGCCTGCACCACATAGGAAGATCCTGTCACTTGTCCCTTTGTTTCTACATATGTTATGTGTATGTGTGTGCTGATGCATGGAGAGGTCAGAGGACACCTTGCTGGGGTTAGTTCTCTCCCCATGTGTTTTCTGGGGATTGAGCTGGGTCTTTAGGTTTCATGGCAAGTGCCTTAACCCTCAGAGCCATCTCTCAGACCCAACCCTATCTTTTTTACTTTATTTATTTTTTTTGGGGGGGGGGTGGGTTTCGAGACAGGGTTTCTCCATGTAGTTTTGGTGCCTGTCCTGGATCTCACTCTGTAGACCAGGCTGGCCTTGAACTCAAGAAGATCCACCTGGCTCTGCCTCCCAGGTGCTGGGACTAAAGGCATGTTCCACTACCACCGGCTTATTTTTTTTTTTAAAGCTGTGTCTTACAAGCTGAAATTAAAGGCATGTACCAGTGCGATTCTATCCTTTGAAGAAAGAAAATATAAAATAGAACTTTATTAAGTTTAAAATGATTGCAGTTTATGGGCCCCTTTTTCAGGCATCTGTTTTTGTAGATGGTTTGATCAACTCTGACTTTTTAGTTAGTATTTTATGTGGTCTTTTGTGAATTCTTGAGTCTGTCTGGCCCATGGCAAGAAGGGGGTGCTTCACTGTCTACTTTCTTTCTGAATATACTACATCTTTTCTTTCAATAGGTTTTGCCAAAAAGTATTGACCTAGATGAAGCAAGGTCAGGTGCCTTGGGGGCACGAGCGACTGTCCTGGGTTAAGCTCTTTTTGCCTAGCCCTCCTTCCAGCATATTAATTAAATCTATGAATATATGAATGACTCCAGGGGTCTTGGGGAAGGGGCCTGAAGAAAGTAGAGTTCGACAGAGCCATCTAAGCAAGTGAGAGCAAGGGCGACATGCGTTTCTGTCCTTCCAGAAACATGGCCTCTTGTGTGTCACTTCTTTTTACAAAACTAAAGCCGTGGGGCCGGGGCCTGGCTCAGCCCTACCCTACAGCAGTGCTTTTGTTTAGCATGGGCAGGCCCTGAGTTCTATCCCAGCACTGCAAAATAGTAAACAGCTAGGGACAGCTAGAAAGGTAGTTCAGCAGTTAGAAAACTGACCCTCTTCCAGAGAGTCCAGGTTCAGCTCCAGCACCTACATGTGGTTACAACCATCTGTAACTCCAATTCCAACAGACCCAGCACCATCTTCTGGCTTCCATGACACAAAGCACCAAAGGGTACATAGACATGCATGCAAAACACCCATATACATAAAAGGAAAACAACCTTTGGAAAAGCACACAGGAAACTAAAGCTTAAAAAATGAAATAGTGTGCTCACTTCAACAGCACATGCACTAAAATTAGAATACAGAGAAGATTAGCATGGCCCCTGCACAAGGATAACACGAAAATTCATGAAGTGGTCAAAAAGAAAAAGAGAGAGAGAGAAAGAAAAAAATATAGCTAAATAAAATTTCCCAGAAATGTCGAGGCTTGAGTTTGAACCCTGGTGAGCCACAGGCATGGGGGTCACTCAGAAGGACCTAGGTGAAATTGTAAAGGGACAAGGGAATGGATGTATCAAAGCTTTGTAGTCAGGTGACAAACCTCCATAGAATGATCTGGTGTCGGTGTGCTTCCAGTGTTGGATGCCTGTGTTACACTGGACCAAGGGCCAAGCAGCTTCCAAGAGCATGCTGTCTGTGAAAATCTCAGCTTGTGCAACTTTTCCCAGCTGCTGGAGCTAGGGGTTGTGTAATTTCAAAGAGCCTAAAATAGGTTCTGGGTCTGAGGCCAAGCTTCTCTGTACTAGCATGACCTTGGCCCTCCTGCAAGAGGCTGTGGGCACCAGGGATCTCCCGAGACTGATGGGAAGGGTCTCCGGGTACTTTTTGCTTATCTCTTTTGGGTTTACTACAGGACTGCGCCCCGTTAGCAGTGGAGTACAGAATCGGGTTTTGAAGGTGTTCCCTGCCACACACTATTTGTTGGCAGAGCCTCTGTCCCACAAATGTGCACAAGGAGGCAAGGAGTTGGTGCCAGATGTGGACAACTTTGGGACAGATTGGTTCCCCCAGCAGCTCTGCCTTTGCCCTCCTGCCACCTGGCTCTCCTGCTGGACTGGAATCTGCCACTCTGCCCCAGTTGTCGAGGGATCTGCTCTACGTGGTGGCACCAGTCCCTCTGTGAAAGAGGATGCTGCTTCCTGTCCAGAGACCAGGGTCTCTGAGCAGCCCAACTCCCTGCGCCTTCCCCAAGCGTGGTCACAGGATTCCTGAGTCAGCCTGTGCTCTGTGCTTGTCTCTGCTACTGAGAGGCCTGAGTTTCCCCTGGAGGGCCAGAGTCAAGGTCACCTGGCCCAGTTAGGCCCACAGGAAAAATGTCTCCACTAAAGTAGCACTCATACTTGCTGTAATGTAGGACTGTGGTGACAGCCTACTGCAAACACACCAATCTATAGGACCCTCTAATATTTGGAGATGTGCCTAAAACTAACAGGAGGACCCTTGCCTTGCTCTCCAGCAATTTTCAGTCCTCAACTTTCCCACCCCTCATGTGCTTGCAGACCTGGAGTGGAAGATCATTTATGTGGGCTCAGCTGAGAGTGAGGAATTTGATCAGATCCTAGACTCAGTGCTGGTGGGTCCTGTCCCTGCTGGAAGGCACATGTTCGTCTTTCAGGTAAGGAAGTTGCACCTTAGCCCTTGATTTCTAGAAATGTTTCAGGCTGGAGATGGAGCCCCAAGACCTGACATATACTAGACATGCATTCCACTACTGAGCCACACCCAAGCCTAGAACCTACTTCCTCTTTTACCTGAAAGCACACTGGTTTTAGCAGTCAGGTTTAAGTTCAGATCCTAACTTGAGCGTGGACTGGTGACACAGCCCTGTAATGCCAGTACTCAGGATGGTGAGGCAGGAGGACCACAAGTTCAAGGCCTGCCTGAGCCATGTATCCTAGTTGACTGCCAGGAGCTATCTACCCGAAGCTATCCTTCAAGAACCACTACTCTGGAGTCACCCCACCTCTGGGTCACAGCTCCTAGTGACCTCTAGGCCACTGACTTGTCATCTCTTCACAGGAGTTGTACCAAACCCATGAACATGGTTCATGAGTATTGCACTACTCCCCTCAAGGATTAAGGGGTTTTGTTGTTACTTGTTCCTCAGCCAGAGCTGAGCACATACCTATAAGCCCAGCACACAGTTTGGAATCAACCTAGGCTATACAGCAAGACTCTGTCTCAAATGCCGTACTAGTGAATATTGACTGTGCCCTCAGCCAGTCGCACTGACCCGAGTCTGAACAAAGCTTACTCAACACCGATTTCCTCCATACATTGCTTTTATTCAGGCAGCACTCAGCACTGCATTTGGGGATCTTAGTTATTTTGTTATTTACTGTATGATGTAAGTCTTGGACTCATTGATTACACGTTAAGACATCTCAATAAACCATTTGGCACCAGTGAGTTAAACATTTGCATGTATAATGAAGAATCAAGTAAGTATTTAATTTCTACTAAAGGTGTAGCTGAGTTTAGTGGTGTTCGTTTATAATCTCAGTATGTGGAAGACTGAGGTAGAAAGACTGCTTCAGGTTCAAGGCTAGCCTAGGCTACACAGCCAAATGCTGTTAAAAAAAAATAATTAGGCAAGCTGTGGTACACCTTTAAACTGAGCACTCAGGAAGCAGAGGCAGGTAGATCTCTATGAGTTGGAGGCCAGCCAAGGCTACATAGTGAGGCCTTGTCTCAACAAACAAACAAAATACAAGGGGGTGTAGTAGAGGTGGTGATGAATATAAAACTTAGTGTTTGTATTCTGCCCTGGGATTTTGGCAATGTAGCAAAGAAAGGTTCCAGAGGGTTCCAGTCTTGGTTGCTAAGCTTTGTTTCTAGGCCAGGAGAGAGACAACACTGGTAGCTGGAATGTGTTACAGAACTGTTCACATTCTGACAGATAGAAGCCAGGCTTGCCACATGAAACTCCTGAATTTCGGCACTAGGCAGACAGTCTAAGGTCCTTGTGCTCCACACTGGAAGCAAAGCCGAAGGCCAAGGAGCCCGAGTTTGGCCCCTGCTGTAATCTAAGCCCTGGGTTTGCCTTGTTCTTCACGTGCCAGTAAGTATGGAAGTACCACACTTACTGGTTTTGAAGTTTCTAGATGTGTCGAGTTGGTGGATTTGCAAACTCAGAATAGTCAGTGACTATGAAGATGGGCTTGTGACTGCCAAATGGAACTATGTCCAGTCCAGTGTCACTGGGCTCGTCTGTCCCCTCCCACGGTCCCTCCCACACTCCTGCCTGTCAAGCCCACTAAGCCCCATGTTCACAGCCAAGGCCTACTTGCAGAGCATGCAGCCTGGCTCTTGAACAGGGCCCCACTGGTGATGCTCTGCTCTCTGCCATGAATCTGGTCAAGTGTACATGTTTTCATTTGCATTGGTTTCATACAGCACAGCTGCTGCACAGCCACACATGCTGATCTGTGACTCCGTTCTCTGTTGTTGGGTTTGGTCGTCCTCCCAGGATGACTCCTGCCTGGCCTCCGTGCTTCTGCTGCAGCCCTCTGCAGCCAGGCCTCCACGTGCTGCCCATCTTTTCAGACCGTACATCCTCTAAACACTGCTGTTTCCCAAGCCCTGAACTGACCCAGCAGGCCTGGGGTTGCCTCGTATCCACCTGACCAGCTTCATCTCATGTCAGTCCCCTTGTGTACCACATTCCACCTGAACACCCTTGTCTCCTAGTCAAACTCAGCAGTTCTGAATTTATTATTATTGTTGTGGTTATTGGGACTAAGGACTATGCATGCTGAGCAATCATGCTGCCGAATCAAATCTATGATGTATAGTTATATTTATAGTTACCTGTACAGTTTGTCTAGTCCTAGTTCTTTGGTAGACTTTGTGTCGTGATTGGCAGTGCTAAAGGCCAGGCTGTGTCTCCCCAGGCTGATGCCCCAAACCCATCCCTCATTCCTGAGACGGATGCTGTGGGTGTGACTGTGGTCCTCATCACCTGCACCTACCACGGGCAAGAGTTCATCCGTGTGGGCTACTATGTCAGCAATGAGTACCCAAACCCAGAGCTTCGGGAGAACCCACCCCCAAAGCCAGACTTCTCTCAGGTGAGCCTGTCTCTGCACTTCCTGCTCCAGACAGTCCTGTTCCTTTACAGCTGAGGGGGATAGGAGCCAAGGTCAGGGAAGGTTAACAGGTCATGCTGCCTCTGAGCCAGAGCTAGGGGGAGTGGAGCACACTGTGGTCCCAGCACCCTGGCCCTCAGAAAGTTAGAGGCCAGCCTCATCTGTACAGTGAGTTCCAGACCAACCTAGACTACATAGCAGACCCTATTGGGGGTGGAGGCAGTGCTGGAGGGCTACTGGAGAGAGAGCTCAGCAGTTAAGAGCACTGGCTGCTCTTGCAGAGGACCTGGGTTTGATTCCTAGTACCCACAGCCTCACAGCCACCTTTAACCAGTTCCAGGGGATCTATGCCCTCTTCTGACCTCCATGGGTATCAGGCACAAAGGTAACAAATAGACATACATGTAGGCAAAACATTCATACAATAAAAATAAGGGTATTTTTTAAAAAATCAAATGGGCTGGAGAGAGGGCTCAGCAGTTAAGAAACTTGCTGCTCTTCAGAGCCCAGGTTCAATTCCCAGCACTCACATGACATCACATGGTGGCTGTTACTCCAGTTCTAGGCTGTGCCTTCTTCTGGCCTCCAAAGGCACCAGGCATACACATGGTGCATAGACATACATGTAGCCAAACACTCATATACATAAAACTTTTCAAAAAAAAATATGCTAGGCATGGTAGTTAATACCTTTAACCCACCCCCACCCCCAGCACTTGGGAGACAGAGGCAGGGGATCTCTGAGTTCCAGACTAGCCTGGTCTACATAGTTGAGACTCTCTCTCAAAACAATCCAAAAACAAATGAACAAAGGCAAACAAAACCAGGATGAGGAAGGCCCTGTTCTACCCTACAGTGTTCAAGCATCTTTTGGGCTCAAACTGGAGGGAGTCCTGTCTGAGGGAGTCCTGGCCCTTTAGGAATAACAAGCACTTAGGTGATAGGGACTGGCATTCTTCTTCTTGTGCAGCTACAGCGGAACATCTTGGTTTCTAACCCCCGGGTGACCCGATTCCATATCAACTGGGACAACAACGCAGATAGACTGGAGGCCATAGAGAACCAGGACCCTAACCCAGACTTGGGCCTTCCCTTCAGTTGCACTCCTATCAAAAGCCTGGGCCTCCCTAGCTGCATCCCAGGCCTCCTCCCGGAAAACTCCATGGACTGCATCTGATGGGGCCAGACTGGTACCAGTAGGATGCTGGCCAGTCTCTTTGCACACCTGGGGGCACCTACAGGCTCTCATGCGTGGTCATCTCAAGGATTTGGGGGCCACC